ACGCCATGAAAAAAGCGCGAATTTCATTCTGATTTCATACTGACTGTGATATTAAAAGCAGGTGTACGAGAACCGATGCTCATTGCTTCACTAACGATTGTGAAACGAGGACAGAGATGCCGAGGTGAACACCTCACGAAAGAGAACGTGCAGTAGGCATGATTCAGGTTTGCACCATCAGCAGGGATATTGCTCGACAACTTGGACTTTGCCGCTCCACCATCGTTAGGCTCCATCAGGATCGCCATATTGACCTTGTCCATATCAGTGATTGAACACTGCCGACTGCCAGGACTGCTGCACCAGTTCAAGGTTGACGTGGGGGTCATCAGCGCTGACTCCATGCGACGCCATCTACACGCTACAGGGCTCCATGCTCGACGTCCTTACGTTGGACCAATTCTGACTGACAGACACCGTAATGAGCGTATACAATGGGCTAGCAGGCATTTTCAGTAAAGCTTACAACAATGACATGGTGTGGTAGTCACTGACGAGTCACGTCTTCATGTACGTAATGCTGACGGCCGACTACGTTTTTGGCGTAGACGTGGTGAACGTTATGCTGATGAGTGTGTGGTTCAGACAGACCTTTGGGTGGTGGGAGTGTCATGGTCAGGGGTGGAATAAATTACAATCCAAGGACTGCCTTCGTGTCTGTCAAGGGAGAGTTAATGCCCTTTATTACCGTGACCAGATTCTTCAGAATCACATCGTATCTGTCTTCAATCACCACCGAGATGTCCATACTTTTCAACAGGACAACGCACGGGCACACACAACAAGACTTTCCATGCAGTATCTGACCCAGCAACACATCCAGGTTATTCACTGGCCAACACAGATGTATCCCCCATGGAGCACTTGTGGGACGAAATTGGTCAAAGTCTTTCGCGGCGACAACAGATGCGAAACATCCGGGAACTTGAGGCTGCACTACTGCAGAAGTGGAATGCCATCCTCAAGAACTCTATTCGGACGCTTATTGACTCAATCAGGAGACGTTGAACTGCATGTGTCACTGCAAATGGCGGTCACACGCGATATTGACTTTTCGATTTGACCCCACGTGTGTTTGATCCTTTCTGACTGTGGAACATTTCAATGAATGAGCGTCTTTTCTGTGTTGTTGTTTTTGTCAGTCGTCCATCTGTTATTATCCAAGATAAAATATCCAATTCTTTACACGTGCTTTTAATAATCTGAACTTTTATAAGTGGTGCGTTTTCAATTATGTTCAGTATACAACAATCAAGTTAGAAATAAAACTAAACGTGCAGCCACAGCATACATTTGGGATACCGTGGCATGCATGAACAGAGTCCGCAAGCCTTTTCCAGTTACTCTTACGGGTAGAATGATTAACTGAAACCAATTCTAATTGTTTGATCGGCATTCTAGAAGTAGGTGACTCAAAAATGAAACATACATCTTTATGGATGACAACTTTTTATTGCATAGAGCGACGTTTCGATGTAGATTCTTACATCGAGGGGGCGCGGTGGGCGAACTGGCTAAAGCGCCAGGCTAGTGATCCAGCGAGCTTGAGGTGATGGGATCGAGCCCACCTGTGACCGGGTGTAAAAACCTTGGAGTCAACTTTGTGTGCAGACTCGTTCAGTGTTGTCACAACCCGTGGTGTACAGTACACAACCCTGTGCACTTAAAAGAACCCACGAATCCGTTGGTATATGACCAGATGGTGGCCACATGAATACGTGCAAACACCCAGTTGCGGGTACAGCAACGTGCAGTAAACTTGGACAAAGAACTGTGACTATGTGTCCCAGTCCACCCAGCTGTGAATGGGAACCTCGTAAGGATGGGAATGCCACAATAACTCGGTGCGCCTAGTGGCTGCAAGAGTTGTATGATCCTCCGGGGAGTTGAGATTGACAATACGATGTGCCGTTGAGATTGACATCCAGTGAACGAGGGGAAAACAAAGCGCCTTTGAGCAGCTGAGCTGAGCTGGATATCGGCGCTATACAAATGTTAGTATGTATGTATGTGTCGTTATCAAACTAAAAGTGAATACAACCAGATGATGAGGGGTATGTATACATAGTATGTTTTGACAAACGGCAGATTGACATTAACAACAACATGTAATTGAATAACAACTGGCAGATAATTATGAGAGGCCAGTGGGGGACTAAAAACAACAAACGAGACTGGTGACGAAGCCAATAAACAAGGGGAATTAAGTTGTAATAACAAGCCGATTGGGTGCTTTTATAGATTCTATAGTTTGATTAATTGTTCATAGGCCAATGGTAAGTAGTATCCTTGGGCACTGTTGATGAAAGGTTTGTGGCGGCGGATTTCGATGGCTTCCAAAAGTTTTCTTTTTGTGAAGTCCTGATTCTTGGTTGATAGGATTTCAAATTTGTCAAACTTGATTTGATGGTATAGACAAACTTTATGGATAAACAACTTCTTTATTCGGTAGATGTGACGTTTCGATACAGATTCTTGCATCGTTGTCAAGCATGGGTAGGGAATTGGTGATCGGAAAGGGCTGATTTACTGTCTGCTTTGGCTGTTGAGGTTTAATGTTCTTTTATGCGGATATCAACCCCCATCCAATCTGTCTGCTGGTATAGGAAGGGGGATGACACCTTTGTCATCCTCAGGAAAGACCAGGATCCAAACTCACTACTACAGGACCTCAACACCCAACATCCTCGAATTAAGTTCTCTATGGAGACAGAGAGTGAGAGCACACTCCCCTTCCTAGATGTCCATGTATCGAGAGACCCGTGCAACCAGATCCAAACCACAGTCTACAGAAACCCCACCCACTCCGACCAGTGCAACCAATTCTAACCAAGAGATTCACAACGTAAATCTATCAAATGCTTGAAAACAATTCAACCCCCAACTGTTGAGAAATACAAATAAACTTGCAACCACGAACCAATCAACAACATGCAAGATGTTTTCAGCTTTTCATTTTGGATTGACCCGTGAAGGTCCGAGTTAGAATATTGGCCTTCAGTAACCAATGCTTGTCGTAAGAGGCGACTAACGGGATCGGACGGTCAGGCTCACGGTTCCCAGTTGCGCAGATGGATGCTCATGCTTTTGATTACTGGATTGTCTGGTCCAGACTCGATTATTTACAGACCGCCGCCATATAGCTGGAAAATTGCTGAGTGCGGCGTAAAACTCACTCACTGAAGGTTCATTCTACCCCGGATCTTCACGGGTCTACTGAAGAAATACGGCATCTCCAGACAAAATCACAGCCTCCTCCCTCCCACCAGTATATGATATAAACATGATAACTGAAATATCAGCTGTCGAGACATATTTCTGTAATCTGAAATATGTGCATAAGATCAGCGTAAGACAAATTTAATGGATAATTCATTTTCCCCGTTTGCATTGACGGTGTATTTGCATGTGAATAAGAGATAAGGATAATTCCACAAGAAAGGGAATCCCCAGGATTGCGTATGATACTCAATCATTGACATCCATAAAACATGTCGAGCGTCATTCTCGTGATCAATGGTTAAGACCCGAAACTTGTGCACAAGATCAACTGAAGACTCGTTTAATGGATGATTTCAAGAATTCCGTTTCTATTGACGAATAAGAGATGACGATCCTTCCATTCCTATGGTCCTTGCTCCTTGGATTTCCAGACTGAATCAGAAGCTTTGCCAACATTTCCTTGCTTTTAGCCAATACGTTTGTTTAAAGTCTCGTTCAATAATGGTGAAATGGCCAGTTTCATTCCACTTCTTTACCCGCCTGAACCAGATTCAAGGGCGACATGAAAAATGACTAAGTTTCTCAAAGAAAATTGATTCTACTGCTCCAGCCTTTGGTGTCTACATCTCGTAACGTTTGAGGGGCGGTGAGGTAGCCTAGTAGTTAAAGCGTTCTCTCGTCACGACGAAGACCAGGGTTCGATTCCCCGCATGGGTACAGTGTGTAAAGCCCATTTCTGGTGTCCCCCTCCGTGATATTGCTGGAATATTGCTAAAAGCGGCGTAAAACCATACTCAGACTCCATCGTAACGTTTGAGGTAGAATCGAATCTGCGTTTTCTCAAAATATTTCAAAGAGCGTCCTGCGTCTCTTGCACATATGTTGTTTGTAAAGTTACATGTCCAATCACAGGCAAATGAGGCAATGTACTTTCTCTTGCTTCGGAAAATATGTTTAATGTCAAAATATATGATATCGCCACCATTGTGCTCGTTGTGTTCTCAGGTTTCCAACCCTTATATTTAATAACTACTCACATAAAATATACCTCATTCAACATTTTAAGCGCCACTCGTGGCATATCAAATCGTTCTTCACCCCCATTACCCCTGCCAGTTTCCGGTTCAACGGGGTGAAGGAACAAGAATAAGCAGAAATTAAAAATAAATATCATATTGCATAATTTTACTATTAAACAGTTAAAGATTATTTATCTTATCTGCCGTCGTTATCGTTGCAATATTCGTAACATTTATTCTGAAAAAGAAACACTTCTGACGTAGCGGGTGAATGAAAGCAAGGGAGGTAACTCTGGACGACGATTGTCATCTGCGAACTCTCCATATGGCCGACACATGATTCAACAAGTATATTGAGAGTTAACTCCCCTGTTCCTTCACTCCGTATTTTGTCACTTTTATTTCCTTCTATATCTGTCTAAGCGTAAATTCTAGAATGCAGTAATTATGTTTAAAACCCAAAGGTAAGACTTCCTAAATTATAGCATTACATTGCTATATTTACCACACAAAGGTTGTCTGAGACTTGCCAATAAAGACGGTAACACATTCGTTTACTATCCCGACTTCATTACCATGGGTAGTAAATTTGCATATTTAACAAATATAATTTGGCGTTTGCCCTTTGCTGTAAAACAAAGAAAACACACACACACACACGCACGCACGCACCACGCACGCACGCACGCACGCACGCACGCATGCACGCGCTTACGCACACGTACAAAATGGTCAAGTGTTGTCTTCTTTACTTTTCAGATTCTGAACTGGTAATATTTTCAACACCAACAACTCATACCTACCACTCGCTGTTTGATCATAATGTTAAACGAAGACACCACAACTCCCTCACGTTTAAGGTGAAAGCCTGTGGGGATGCCCATGTAGCCTTGCAGACAAATTACCAGAATTCAAACCTCCAGATGTACGAAATCGTCCTGGGTGGCTGGAGCAACACCAAGTCAGTGATGAGGCGATGTGCCCAGTGTGATCCAGTAACGCTTTACCATGGAGCCGTGGTGTCCTGTTCTCAGTACAAACAATTCTGGACGAGCTGGGTCGATGGAACGATTAAGGCAGGAAGGGGTGAGACAGTTGGTCAAGACACGATCCTTTCTTACACAGATCCCAGTCCACATACCATCAACTACTTTGCTGCTGCCACCGGATGGGGTTCTTCTGGGGAGTGGATGTTTGGTAAGATTAATACAACTAAGATAAACTTCTAAAGTAAACTAAATACGACCTCATTGAGTCCTCTGTAGTTTGATACCAGTAGAACACAATTGGTCCAGAGTGATTGCGGAGTCTGTTTTGACCACAAGCTTCAAAGGTGTGTTTGTCGTTTAACACTGCACTCAGCAATTCTCCAGCTATATGACAGCAATCTGTATATAATGGAGCCTGGACCAGACAATCCAGTCATTTACATCATGAGCATCGATCTACGCATTTGGGGATATGATGACATGTGTCGACCAAGTCAGCAAGCCTGACAACCCAATCCCGTTAGTCGCTTCTTTCGACAAGCAGGTTACTGAATACTAATTTTAACCCGGATCTTCACGGGTCAGCTTTCGAGGTAACAGTTTCACAGGTTGTTATATAAGACAACTGTAACTGTCGGGTTTAACTGTTGTCACATGTATTTCCCTTTGCGCGGTCATATTAGTGGCAATTAAATGGCACCATGTTATGATGACAATAACGCAATGTCTTGTTGTTGTAGATTTCTGTGAGCCCAATCTGCAGTTTAAGATCCTTCAGAACAACTCGAAGTATGACGGAGGCACCACTACTGATTTCAAGACAGTTCAGTCCAGAGCACATTGTTCGGTCACCTGTTTCTCCAAAATCTGGTGTCGGGGATTCAGTCATGAGTCGTCCACGAACACCTGCAACATGTTCGATGATATTCCAGCAACGACAGCCCTCACCTCTGCTACGGGATGGACTACGTGGATTGTTTCCAAGTGATTATTTCTTTCAAATGTTTTGTCTGTTTGTACTGTGTTCCCAAACCTCTACATCCAATTCGGTGAACTTTTAGTGGGAAACCAACCAACACATCGTGTCGTCGATTAATTCAAGGGATCCATTCATTTGATGTCCATCGTTGTTTCGTCCTTTATGCCAAATGGAATCAATGTCGGCAAAAACCGAGACTGGTTACTTTCTGGCATTGACGTTTTACGTCAATTGCTTGTGACTGATTTCACACTGAATTTGCATTTTGATAACTGGGTAAATATTTTGTTTCAGATTAGAAATCGAACGTATTCATAAAGACGCACTTATGTCATGACTTGATGAAAAGTGTTAAAATGTACATGTACCAACCAAGAAAAATAAATGTTGTACAATTATAATTTGTATTACAGAATTAACTAGGTTCATAAATAGATACAAATTAGTGAAACAGTAATGGCAGTGCACAATTTGGTGGCAGCAGAAAAATTCAACGGCATTGCATTTGTAAAGGCAGAAAATATAAGCCCTAAGATTCTTCTCTAAAAGATACATTTAACACTACTTTAATACACGATACACTACACATTTTGCACTTCATCACACTGTATTTACGCCATTCTCGTCTGCCCCTCGTAATCAACCATACCCTTGGTAACCGACGTCACGATGCATGTCAGCTGTGACAGTTGTCATTGGCTGGTACATTCTCTTACAGCCCAACAAAGGCTTAGCACTTTGTAATTCTGCTAATAATATTCACCTAGCAGCAAAATAAGCCTTAACCTGATCTTCACACAGCCACTGGATTCAAATGTGACTGGATTATGGATTCCTTAAAGGTCCCAGATTACCCCTGACTCAAAGGAGCTTCAAAACATAGTAATTTACACACGGTACCTGACATTAGATAGTAATACTTTCATGACAACTAATTATAGTTAAATCACAATGTTATGAACTTCTACAGAATGGTAACAGAGCTAATATAAAACAAATACAACAATGTTTAAGAATACATTACCTTACTATATCACTTGTCAATATCGGAAAAGAAAGTTTGAACATTGCGAGAACTTCCTTTCGTAATTATGGTGACAAACCTCTGTTTGCAGTAAATAATACTGATACTTAAAGGGTAATTGTGAGACATATGATTGTTTACAAAAATAAAATAGTTGAAGTCACTAACGACCATTCCAACCAACTACTGATAATTCATCATCAAAACTGTGGTCTTTGCCTCTTATATGCTGGAGCATTCTCAGACAAAATTTCTTCTTTAAACAGATAAGTTATTAAATATATCTTGGCACCTGCCTGAAATATACCTGAGTTGATGTCAATACGACTTCTATTTCATAAAAAGTTGGCTGACGAAATTATCAACACTGTAATTACTGATGTCTTCCCTCAATATAAGACATTAAAATCTTAATCCAAAATCCTGACAAGTAATTCTGACATACATATTACATAACTCATTTCATACAGGGTTATTACAATGGCAATATTCAATAGGTTGGCAGTACAAAATTCGATGGCAATATAAATACAATGGTAAAAAACCCCAAATACAATGCAATCGCATTCGTCTGGGCAATAAACTATCAGCGATTATACTGTTCACTTCGTGCTAACAACGGTCAAGCATACAAAACATTCCTGACTAGTCTACAAACCTTCTGGAATATTCCGTGCCACATTGGACTTGTTTATAGCTGTTTTAAAGGGTTCCAAACTTGACTTATAAAGCATCAAAATAGTGTAACTTCCCTTACAACTGCTTACACTAGATAGTTATACCTACCTGACAACTAACTATTGTTAAAAGACAATGTTATGAAATTCCGAACCTCATCAGAAACGGTTTAATAGAATTACGACGTTTAACAATAAACGACATTGCCATATGAGAGTCCTCATTGATGCATGATAACGCTTAATCAATGTGAGCTGCAGGAAGTAATCCCCATCAACATTTTAGACTCACTAGTGTAAATGTAGCCACTTACTCCAGTCAACTGTTCTGAACTAAATTTTCTACAATAATCCATACAGTTTAAAGGTACTGTTTATACATGAGCTGATGTATTGTAAAACAAATTCGTGACGTTGAAAAGTTTATTGTCATGTGTTCAATATATGATGAATCTCGGTGAAAAATGGCGATTTTTTATCAAAACTTTACACCAAAACGCAGCTGTTCACATGCAAGATATTTGCACATGCTTTCAGCAAGTTGATGCATGATCCTCGTGCAATTAATCTGCATAAGGTTTGCAGATGATTCCCCCAAGTTAGTGGAGAAATTCATCTTCGTTGTAACCATATGTACATACATAACATATAGTGATTGATTTAAGCGAGTCTAAACTTTTGATGGATAGTATATATATTGTGTTATGTAATATGACAAACGTTGCACTAAGTACTAAGTGGCCCGATGTTTGTACATTTCATTTTGAGGAAGGAAAAATATCTTTGTGTGTGATTCTGTTATCAGTTGGACTTATAAGTTAGCTCTGAATGTGCCTTTGTTTCCTCGTTCAACGTATATGAAACTGTGTATTATGAAACTATCCTCTCCGTGTGCACGGCTTTCCCCGCGATATTCAAGAACCTTTTGGCCGAACGTATCATGGAACGATTAGGAGATAAACATCATGTGTTGGCTAATTTCAGGGTGTTATTGAGTATTTGAAGCACGGGAATTCTTTTTGAACCGACGGCGTTAGCCGGTGGTTCAAATTACATATTCCTCTGCTTCAAATACAATGGACGTGCCTTTTTGTGTTTTTGTGACAGGTGTTCCGATGGGGCACTCTATGTTCATCTTTATTGTTTTATGTAATGACTATGCCCTTTGACCTCCTGCCATGTGACGTAAATATTTACACTGTAATTTCTGAAACAAACCTTATTCATTTCCTTAAGTGGCATTTAGAAGCTGGTATGATGAAGTGGAACATCTTTTATTGATAGACAACTTCTTTGTTGCAGTAGTAGTTGCAGTTGTTGCAACAAAGAAGTTGTCTATCCATAAAAAGTGTTCCACTTAATCCTTATTCATATATATTTTTCTGTTTAAGTTATTATATTTGTTATGACGTTATTTAAAGAGACGGAATCTATTCTACATTTTGGCATATTCTGTTCTATAGAATTCTCTGAACAGGGGGAACCACATACTTGACAACACTGTCCACGACCCGACGATTCGGGTATTATGAATGCAATGTTTTATCGATCTTGAGATTTTTCAATTTTTAAAAATTTATCTTTACGCTATAGATATCAGAGTATTTGCAATGAAGTTATATAAATGTTAAAAATGAAAATACTCCAGCTTTAAGAACTGTTGCAGCAGAATATTGTTAAATGAATAAAGGAATGAGTGAGTGAGTGAGTAGTTGTTTGTTGCTTTATTCGATAATCCTGCTTTATTCGATAATCCATCCATACACGGGGGGGGGCTGAGGGATGTGTGAGTTATTATCTTCACTGTTACACTAGTCCTCACAGTTAAAAAACCCTCTGTGCTACCGTTGATGCGAATTGAAGTTCATTAGTGCAGGCTTGTGTTGTAGTTAACCACGCATTGATCACACGTTGAATAAATAACCGTAATAACATAAATTAAAATACATTTTCTTCAGTGACAAAAGAAGGGAGGCTGTGAACACACGACAACTGCTTTTCAGTCACCCGGAATGTTGGAATCGATATGCTTCTTGCATGATTGCGGTGTTGGAATTGATGTAACAAACTCTAGAGGGAAATCAATAAAACATGGTGATGAATGTGAAACGGTTGATTGTGAACGAGTTAGTATTAGTCTCCATCTGTCCTTTTTGCATTCTTGTGTAACCATGCACCCCTCGCAGTCTGCTGATATTTTGGTTTCGTTGTTGTTTAACGCCACACTCAGCAATATTCCAGCCATAATCGAGACAGACACTCCAGTGATCAACAGCATGAGCATTCATCTGCGAATATGGGATACGATAACATGTGGGTTAAGTCTATGCGTGTGATTATTCCCAGCGGAATAGGTTTGGGGTTTGGGGTTTGGGGTTTGGGGTTTGGGGTTTAATGCAAAAACTGAAATACAGGGCAGGAAGAGTAAATGAATTCAGTCAACTGTCATCCAGTGTGGCAGTCAAACAGGAAAGGTTGGAGTTGTTCAACTGACAAGGCTTCAAACAGCGTAAACATATATGTATATAGCTCCACTATGTTAGCTTGGCATGGGGTATGGCAGCGGTTTATAAATAATCGAGTCTGGACCAGACATGCAAGTGATCAACAGCATGAGCATCGATGTACGCAACTGGGACACGATGACATGAGTCAACCAAGTCATGGAGCCTGACCACCCGATCCCGTTAGTCGCCTCTTACCACAAGTATAGGTTACTGATGCGGCCTGTACTGGTTCGTCACAAATTCAGATCGGTTTCAAGCGTTTCCTGTAAAATCGCACGCACGCACTGTATGGCAGGTATTCATAATGTCTAAAAAATTACCATGTATATTTCATGACGTGTAAAGGGAAATTTAACTATGTAGATACTGAATATGTGACCTGCACTCTATAGCTTGTTGTCAAAATCATCTGATCAGAACAGTCGGTTAGTTGCTGGTTGTATAGCAATTCCGAACTCTATAGCTTGTTGTCAACATAATCTGATCAGAACAGCCGGTTAGTTGCTGGTTGTATAGCAATTCTGAACTCTATTGCTTGTTGTCAACATCATCTGATAAGAATAGTCGGTTAGTTGCTGGTTATATAGCAATTCTGAACTCTATAGCTTATTGTCAACATCATCTGATCAGAACAGTCGGTTAGTTGCTTGTTGTATTGCAATTCTGAACTCTATAGCTTGTTGTCAACATCATCTGATCAGAACAGTCGGTTAGTTGCTGGTTGTATAGCAATTCCGAACTCTATAGCTTGTTGTCAACATCATCTGACTCTGTTGCTTGTTGTCAACATCATCTGATCAGAACAGCCGGTTAGTTGCTGGTTGTATAGCAATTCTGAACTCTATTGCTTGTTGTCAACATCATCTGATCAGAACAGTCGGTTAGTTGCTGGTTATATAGCAATTCTGAACTCTATTGCTTGTTGTCAACATCATCTGATCAGAACAGCCGGTTAGTTGCTGGTTGTATAGGAATTCTGAACTCTATTGCTTGTTGTCAACATCATCTGATAAGAACAGTCGGTTAGTTGCTGGTTATATAGCAATTCTGAACTCTATAGCTTATTGTCAACATCATCTGATCAGAACAGTCGGTTAGTTGCTTGTTGTATTGCAATTCCTGAACTCTGTAGCTTGTTGTCA